TTTTTTATTTTCTACAACAGATAAACACTCATCCTGTTATCAGAATAAAATGACAAATGTTGTTTTAACATCAGAGAATAATTTAATGCCATTCTTAAACAAATCCAAATACCTTCATACAACTGGCACTTGGTGGCACACTTTGGCTCTTCCCAAGCATTACTTAATGTAATGATTTCCCCCACATCCCAGGACTGAGTAACACTAATTCACAAAACTGCTCCAAATCAGAAATTCATTTATTCATTTGACATTATTCTAGTTTGGGTTAGGCAGCAAGGACAGGGAAAGCACAACAGCAAATAAACAATGCCAGACTTTGATTTGTTCTACAAAGGAAATAAAACAAGACGACATAACAGAAAACAACTGGAGTGGAGGGTGCAGAGCACTTCAGCAGGCAATCAGGAAAGGCTTCTCAGAGGAAGTGAGAGCTGAGCCACACCTGCAGGGTGATGCGGGTCAGCCCTGAGAACAACTAGGAAAACGAATTCCCACTGAAGAGATCAGCAAATGCAAACGCCATGTGGTTCAGGAATACCTAGAGTGAAAGGAATACTAAGTGAAGTTGGAGAGGATCTTTTTGATCACAGAGTGGGATTTACATTGCATCACAGAATCTTCCACACCCAATATCTAATAAACAAAAACTTTTAAAAATAAAAAACATAGATACTTACCAAACATCAAATTAAGAAAGGCCACAACCAAATTCAGGGTTCTTCAAAAACCAGTGGCCAAGGGAATAAAAAAGAAGGTTCCAGGGGAAGAGCAGAGAAACACCACTGTGTTTATCAGAAGACAGAAGGCTGGAATTCTCACTTTGACCCTTAAATCCAGAGTTGCTTTGCCTTCTCACCACGAACTAGAGAGGGATGTGGGGAGCTGACTCCTTCTGATGGAAGTGCAATGTCAGGGTTAGACTCAGAATTGGACCCAAGCCCTGGAGTCTTCTAACATAACTGGTCAGGCCAAGGAAGAGACAAGGAGGACTGAGAAGGAACAGCCAGAGAAATAGGTGAAGCACAAAGAAAATAGGATTTTATGGAAGCCATAAGAGGATGGGGTCGGCAGCTGTGTCGATTGCTGCTGAGAGACTGAGTAATGAAGACCAAGAAGTGTTCACTTAGTTTGGCAAAATAGTGGCTTTTGTAACTTGACAAGCAGTTTCAATGGAGTGGTGAGAATGGGGGTGAGATTAAATTTGGTTGAAGATTTATTGTGTTCAACAGATAAAAACAAACCAGTTGCTTAGGGAAAGTATAATTCTTCCAGATATCGAGACCAGAGATGTTTTCCCTTGGGACCTCTTACCCAAAATGCTTGTACACGGCACCCTCAACAACATCTGTATAATAAACACAAGTTTTATAGAGTTGCCCCTTAATAATGGAAACCAGATATATCATAGAAGGTTTTCTTTATTGGGTAAAAACTTGGGCTAAATTTATTTTACTGAAATATAGTTATTCCATATAATAACCATAAGTGGTTATTGAGATAAGCTTAAATCCCTTCCAAATATAAGAGTCTATTAATGCTGGGATATTCCTTTCCTGGAAAAGGTTTAGACAGACTTTAAAAAGCCGTCTTGTGGTGGCCATAATCTAAACATATGAACCAAGGTAAGCATGTGTCGTCTTCAGGAGCTGAAGGGAATACGGGAATGTCGATTAATGTGAGTGAAAGGATGGCTAGGAGAGAGATCCACTGAAAGTCAAAAAGCCTGAATTTTTCCATTTAAAGAAAATTTGTAAAGAGAGTAAAGACCAGCTGGAGAAAAAACAATTTTCAGAGGCCCTAGAGAGTTTTGTGGACCTGGGCACCTGAAGCACATTGCTTACAGGTTTGAGTCAGTTATTTTTAACGCGGAAGCTGAGCCATGCTCAGTAACCTGCTCTGCTCTGCAGGGAGCCTGGGTGCTCTGGCAGACTCACGTTTCAGCCAATTCTGCAGAAAGTGGCTTCTTACATATCCCAGGAACAATGTTGTACTACCTATTAGCCTCATTGTGCGCTAATAGAAAAAAAAATCACATTGTGATTTAAAATTTTAATGTGATATGAAAAGCTACACTGATCTACCTACACTCAAACAGTAAGAGTGCAGGCTGTGAGGACAGGCCAACTAGAGTTCTCACCTCAGGAGAGCTCTGTAACTGTGGGCAGGTGACATCCTCAACCTTCAGTTCCCTCATCTGTAAAACAGGGGAATAATAGTACATATCTTACAGGGCTTTGTGAACAGTAAATATGACAGTACCTGGGACATTCAGTAGATACCGAAATTATGTTAAACAACATCATGTTTTGAGAAGTATTTTTCCTGAAATTGGTGACTAGAGAGGGTTTAAAAGGCATTAAATAACCTACATTCCTAAGTCAGAAAACTTCCAGATAAGGGCGCCAGCCACTGTCCCACCCAGTTTGCACTCCAGCTCTCTCCCTCACCCATAAAAAGTGGGTTTGAGGTGAAGGGTGTGTTTAGGGAGTGCAGTGTTTGTGAAGAGAAACATTCCAGTGCTTCCTCGCCCCACAGATGAGAGAGGAAAGCCCCATGAGGACTGAAAAGTTTTAGAGTGTGTATGAGACCAACATCTTTTAGCCCAGTTAGATATCACATTAGTCACCAGGCTTGCTAACTTGCCTTGGAACTACCACGGAGAAGGACAAACACTGGAGGGTGACGGTGCAGTGGTATGGCCAGGCAGAGGGGGGTCCCTCTAGCATGGTCCCTTTAGCTCCTGGTTCCCGAGATGTACAGAAGATGGATGTGGCTTGAGAACTGGGGTCCTGGAGGGCAGGTGAGATTGGAGGATACAGACCGGCTGCAAACCAATGAAGAGGGCAGAGCACCCCCTGGGGCTTAGGAGAGCTGGGTTCAGTAGAACGCTCCTCCGCCAGCCCTGGGCGTCACCCCTGTCTGCACTGGCTCTGCGGTGATGAGCTAGACAGTGGGGATGGCCAACAGAAAGTGACAGCAGCCTCCCAGGCCAGTTGCACAAGATAATGTCATTTCCCTCTCAGACAAGTAGATACAGGGAATTGGGAGAGGGGTTATTAAAGAGAAGACCTCCTCTCGTCCTCCTCCCACTCCCCAAACTACTGGAGTCTCAAGTCTGAATTATGGTGATAGGAAGAAAATACCTAAGTCTTTCTAACAGAGCTGAGGGGTTTTTTTAGTAATGTGAATTCACTGATGAGCTTGGAATCGGGTTAAGATGTGGTTAAGGAGCCACTTAGCCAGAGGGAAAGGAGGGATTAACAGAACAGTGCTGGAAATCAATTACTGGAAAAAGAAACCTGTCATACCTTAAGGACTTGACATTCCTCATCTAATCAGTTGTAGTTCTTACCTGAATAATAATCTTCCTTCTCCCAGCTGGTCTCCTGTCTGTTGTTATTGGGTTTTGTGTTCACATTATCTATTTCAAAAAGATTTTTAAATCTTGGCACATAATCCTAGTAATAGAATATACAATGCCTAAGACGTGAATGGAAACATATGTCCTTGTTTGTTTCCCTGCTACCTTAGCACAAAGATTTCCAGAAGTAGAGCACATATTTTCAATAATTTATGTTTCTCTTTTTATACTTGTAGATTATTTGTAAACACACAAAGTACAAAAATAGAAGACTATGAAAGTCACCCATATTTTACCATCCAGATATACTCCTGTTAATATTTGCTGTACATTCTTACTACTGTTTAATTCACAGATAGACAAACTTTTTTTAGAAATTAAAATGTATCAAATTACACGAACTATTCTGTAAACTGCTTTTTCCTTTTTAGCACCTAGAAGAGGGCCTGACACATCATAAGCTTCTAATAAATATTAATATTTGCTGAACAAATGTGTGAACTTATTTCCACGACATTCAATATTTTTGTGTGGCATCATTTTTAACAGTTGCATAGAATTCTATCATGTGAACAACCATAACTTGTCTAACCAGGCCCTGGAGAGCTAAGGAGGAATAAGGCATTGTGAAGGACCCACAGATGCCCCAGTCCTCTTTAGAGCGGGCACCTGTTGCCAGCTGCTCCAGCCTCCAGTCATCAGCCCCCTTCAGGAACTGCCTCAGCTATAGAAAACTGCCTTCCCAGGGCGACCTGCATGGAAAGACAGATCCTAGGGGGGCCCAGCGCAGAGCCCCAGAGCTTCCCAGGGAGGGGGTTGCCTGAGGCTGTCCCACCTAGACTGCAGCTCCTCTGCTCTCTCTGCCTGTTTCTTCCCTCCCAGTTCCATGGGTGTTAATCTCAGGGCACTCCCTAATAAGTACACTGCTCACTAAACTTCATCTTACAGCCTGCTTCTGCAGAACCTAACCCATGACAGAGATGGTCCTGACCCTTGATGAAAGAACTCAGTAAACACATCACTGCCATTAGCCTTCTCTAACACAGGTTAAATCAGCCAAAGTGCACGTATACCATGACGTGCTGTGCAGCCGTGAAAAGTCATGTGCTTGGTGCTGTGTAGGACACATGGCAGCTCCAGAAGGCGTTATGAGGGGAAGGTAGGGGACGGGAAGAGAGAGAAGGGAGCAATTAGACCTCAGCAGATAGTTTCTTGAGCCCTCTCTCTTTGACGGAATTTCTCACAATCTATTTGTTTCCAGATCTCTTGTTCCTTATTAGTCTTTGGACCACATATGGTGTGAGCTTTGCTTGGGCAATTACTATCCCCATGAATATAGCAAGTTACAGAAACTGACACTGGACATGGCCCTATACAGGTCAACATACATCCACAGCACTATGAGCAGTCGGGATTAACAGGCCTTTTAACACAGGAAAGCAGGAGGAAGGATCAAATCACACCCATAAAACGGAATCAAGTTAAACCGAAATAAAAACAAAAACCCTGAGTTCGTATTCGAGTAAGCCCGGACCTGGGAGGGATGCACAAAGGTGATGAGCTGAGGCCTGTCAAGGTGCTTCCCCGTCACAGTCGCACATTCCAGAGCAGCTTCCGGTTACTCCCTGCCTGGGCGAGGAGGCTCAGGCGGCAGCAGGCTCAGCCCCTGTGAGACGCCTCCTCCCAATCACAGACCACCCTTGCCTGGGCCCAGAGGTTCAAAGAATTGCTGCAGGTAGAAAAGCACCGTGGGCTGGTGTGGACTGCAGAGGGGGCCTGCACAGCTCCAGGAGGAGGAGGCCAGGGCTGGGTGAGTAGACTGGCTTCACGCTGCAGGGGAGCAATGCCTTGGTTGCTTTCCTGGGAGGGAAGTTAGCAGTCTGAGAGGGAAAGGGGAAGAAGTTGCTTTTTTATTTGCAGCATATTGTGGGGGTAAAAATGTTAAGGTTACGTATATTGCCCTTGCCACCCCCTTCCCCCGTCGAGTCATTCCTTCAAGCGTGTCCATCCCCCAGTTGGTGCGCATCGCATTATGTATGTATATACCCATCCCCTCCCCACCACCTGCCCAACACCCGATAAATGTTGCTCCTGTATGTCCACTTAGGTGTTGATCAGTTAATATCAATTTGCTGGTGAGTTCGTGTGGTGCTTATTTTTTCATTCTTGGGATACTTCACTTAGTAGAAAGGGTTCCAGCTCTATACAGGACAATACAAGAGGTGCTATCTCAACGTTGTTTCTTAAAGCTGAATAGTACTCCATGGTATACATATACCACATTTTATTAATCCACTCATGAATTTATGGGCACTTGGGTTGTTTCCACGACTTTGCAATTGTGAATTGTGCTGCTATAAACATTGAAGTGCAGGTGTCTTTTTAGTAGGGTGACTTTTGTCCTTTTAGGTAGATGCCCAGTAATGGAATTGCTGGATCAAATGGTAGATCTACTTGTATCGCTTTAAGGTATCTCCATATTGCTTTCCACAGAGGCTGAACTAGTTTGCAGTCCCAAGGAAGTTGCATTTTTGACTAAAAGAGCCTGTCATCTTTTGTAATTTAGGATATTGTGACTGTTCTGTTCTCTTTTACTTTGAACTGTACAAATTACATCCTTTAAACCTTCGATATATATCCTGTTCTCAGAACTGAGATTAAAGCTCTAGAGGTGTTACACAGCCATCCTGATTTCAACCTCAAATTTCCTCACAGAAAGACCAAGAAAAAAATCTCTAAGAACCCTGAGAAACTTTATATCACTTGTTTAAATTAGACACACCTTTGTAGACCCTCAATTTCCTGTGGAGTCAGAAAAGCAAAAGAAAACTTAAGGAAACTGATCATGTTCTTTCTTAATAATCTGACCCTTAGCCTAGCAGTTTACTGGTCTTCTTGTCAGAAATCATTTGGTTGTGCCAATTTAGATGGAATGTGTGAGGCAATTTATTCACTGTTCTTCTCTGCAAACAGTTCTGCTTAACAAAAGCGTCAGCTGAAATAAGTCAACAAATTAGCTTTATTTACACAATGTTATTTTTACATAATTTATCTTTACTTTTCGCCAGTTAGATCCACCAGGATCTGCAGAACATAAAGATATTTTTTGGTCTAACATTTTTATACAAATACAAATTGCTTCAAATAATGCTAATATTATTCCACATTTACACTTTATGTTCATGTTTATGAGCCTAAAACATCACTTCTAATTAGTTTTAAGATTATTAAGACATTTAAGAATTTTTATTAATTTAACTGTTTTCTTTTAATTAAAGACAATGTTTATTGACTGCTTCTTGCCTGAGTAGAGTTGCTAAGCATGACAGGAAAGAACTCACTTGAGTTTTATGTATATAATATTTCAGTTATTTATAAAACCTAGGTTATATAGGTTTCAAACTTAGTGAAGCAATGGTTTTTCTTTTTATTAACCTTTTTAGTGATGAGAAAATTTTCTTATTTTGCTTTCTGCTGCAATAGACTGTTTTTGCTTTGTGCTGCAATAGTCTTAAAAATCAACTCATGTATCTTTTTCAACTACCTGGGAAGAATCACAGACTTTTGGGTGCAAAGGCGACCTTAGACACCATTTAGTCAAGAGAAAAAATGAAATCTCCAAATTTGTTTTTAATGTTTCCTGCTTACATTCTTAACCAGAGCAAACACCAGTCAGCCCTAGAACATGCTATACCCTGCTCTGGAATCTGGGCTCGATGGCCATGCTGGCTGCCCTCAGACCTGACGGGCCACCATTCCCTAACAGGGACAGAGACCACAATGGGGAGGGGGCACCCTCATCACACCTCCCCTAGGGATTCTCCATGGCATTCCTGCCCTGGGCCTGGGCATCCCACCATCACCTCCCACACCTGAGGTGCTCCACAGTTGAGTGTGCCTGAGCCATTGCTTATGGCTTAATCCCTGCTCTCCAGTGAGTGGATGACGCCAATCAGTCAGGGAGCACCAGGAATCAAGGGAGTGCTGTCCAGCAGAACTTTCTGTGAGGAGGGAAGTGTTTTACACAATAGCCACTAACCCCATGTGGCTATCAAGAGTTTGAAAGTAACTAGAACAACTAAAGAACTGAATTTTTACTTTAATTGAATTCATTCGACTTTAAATAACTGTATGCAGCCACTAGCTACCCTATTTGTCAACATAGGTTTAGAGCTTTGAAACAAGAACTTGATAGGTGCTGTGAGCTGTGGGTGTCATTCCCAGGGAGTCATCCTACCCTAAATTGAAGCAGCTCAGCAATTGTCTTGATCTGAAATGTCCACACCCATCTTGACTCTCCCAAGTCAATCAACTGTCTGCTCTTGTCCTGGGTTTCAGGGTCAGAGCTAAAGCAATAGCTTATTGTGTTTATGGTTTCTCCCTCTCCCATTTTTTTTTTTCTTTTGTCAATCCAAATTTCTCTAACATGAGCTAGAGTTTGAGGTGTGGTTTGTGTGTTCTCTGGTGCAACAAACTTGGGTGAGGAAAAGAGGTAATGAACTTGAAAAAATGACCTCATGCTTACTGGGTGAGTCTCACTTCTTTTTCTTCTGCTTTGAAAATCAGTTTGTTTAGTGAGCAATTTTTTTTTAAACCTATTCAATGTGCCTGGAAACATCAACATTCTGGATATGAATAATTTTTATAAGAAAACAAAACTGAATGAAGGCACAAGAAAGAAAAATCAAGAAATATAATTCTAGCCCTTAAAAATGTGCACTCCTTAAAGCAAAGGAACTCCCAGCATGTTTAGCAACTTGAGCAAATCATCATGGTGCCAGGCCACTGGGCAGTTTTTCCACAGGGTGGGGCTCACGGGGACTGCTGCGTTATGCAGAAAGCATTTCGAGGTGAGTTGCGCACCGTCTAAGGCAATATCATTTCTAACGTGGGCAGTTGCTACTCTGCCCTCTGCCCCTTCCTACTTTTTTTTTTTTTTTTTTTTTTTGAGACAGAGTCTCGCTTTGTTGCCCAGGCTAGAGTGAGTGCCGTGGCGTCAGCCTAGCTCACAGCAACCTCAAACTCCTGGGCTCGAGTGATCCTTCTGCCTCAGCCTCCCGGGTAGCTGGGACTACAGGCATGCGCCACTATGCTCGGCTAATTTTTTATATATATATCAGTTGGCCAATTAATTTCTTTCTATTTATAGTAGAGACGGGGTCTCGCTCTTGCTCAGGCTGGTTTCGAACTCCTGACCTTGAGCAATCCGCCCGCCTCGGCCTCCCAAGAGCTAGGATTACAGGCGTGAGCCACAGCGCCCGGCTCCTTCCTACTTTTTCAATTCACCTCATCCCAGTTGTTTCCCTTAAAGCCCTGCCAGGTAAAGAACTCATATATGTGAGAGGGAAGCAGTGCTTTAGAATAACGTGGGAAACTTTCAGAAGACCGCATGTTTGAAGCACACCTCTCATACCTGCTGAGAGAGGGCAGGAAGCGAGCATGCGGTGTATCCTCAGGACTAAGTCTCCATCCACAGACAGCGCCAGAGCCGAGCCCCCAAATCATGAGTCAGGAGGTTTGTCTTTTTAGGCTCTATCTTCTCCTTGGGTCTCTCTCCTTCTCGTGGTGTCTTCCCTGTCCCTTTGAGAATTCAGTATGAGGAGGGATCCGATAAAGTCATTCATGATGAGGCACTGGCATTGATGGCTCATGTGTCATTTTTATATGCATTTGCATTTTAATCAGGAACAAAGGGGCAGTTCTCTAATTGTGGCATTTCAGAAATTAGGTTGAAGAATGAGGAAACTTTGAATGAAGGGAGAGGGTGGAAGGCTTTCTCCCTGATGGCTTTGTTCATGTGACTCCCTTTCTGGCTTAATTTATAAGGAAAAAGGCTCCAGGGTAGAGCATCAGGAGTTTCTCTTAATTTTAAAGAGACATATAGGAAGGTGGTATCTCCCTATCTTAAAAAAAGAGAATGAATAGTGACAAACTCCATGTAAGGCTAGCTTAAGAGTAAAGAGACCTGGACTTAAACACTAACTCTGCTAATAATTAATACACCAACGATCACGAACAAGTCATGTCCTCTCCATGATCCTTGGCATCCTTATCTCTGGATGAGGGGACTGACTACAAAGCCTCTTAAGTTTGCAGAAAGAGCTGACATTTTTTCATGCTGTGAATGGGCACCTGGCCAATAACTGCCCAAAGATAAATGACTCCTTAATTTCTCCTGAATTACATACCCTTTAAGGCAAAGAAAAACAATCAGAAGTATAGTCATTGACTTCTAGGTATGTCACGCATCAATTCATTTGAGAGTTTATAATTTCACTTTCTAATGCAATTCTTTCTCAAATTGACTTTTTTGATATATGGCGATCTGTTCTTTTGTGGGTTCAGAATAATTTATTAAACAAACTTGGGTGACAAAAAGAGGTAACAACATTCCAGGAAGGGTTGCCGTGGCAGAGGCTGGGAGGGAAGAAAAGCCATACACACAAACCCACCACGCTTGGAACACCCCTGGAGAGAGGAGGACGTAGGAAAGGAAGGATAATTCTGGGCAAGGTAAGTTGGGGGGGAAGGAGAAGTTTTTCAACTGGGCTTCAGAAGATGGTAAAGTGATGAATAGGCAAAAATGGGAGAAGGGATTCCAAAGAGAGGGACAACCTGGAAGCACAGTCACCAAGGAGGCAGTGAAATATGGCGAGCAGGCCGTTGGGAACCTGGCTGGATACTGCCTTGAATCCAAGCTAAGGAGCTTGTAGTTTATCTCTTAGGTGGTCCAACCTTTCTTCCACTGGCTAGATGGAGAATGAAATGGTTGGGTCTGACCAAATACTGCAGACTGGTCTATCAGAATAG